GTATTTGCTATGAATAAGTCACTGATTGTGCAAAATTCAATCATTCTCTCTCCAGCTCCATTTCCATCACCAAGTCTGTTTTCCAACTACTAAATCTTCTCTGTTCCCAACTTTTGCATTCCAGTCACCCATTATTATCAATGCATCTTGGTTGCATGTTCGATCAATCTCCAATTATAAAAGTTGGTAAAAATATCCTCTGTCCTATTCCTTGGCTCTGGTTGTTGGTGCATATATTTGAATGATAGTGGTATTCACTGGCCTTCCTTGTATGTGTATGGATATTGTCCTGTCACAATATTGTACTTCAAGATGGATCTAGCAATGACTTTAACTATGAAAGCAACTCCATTTTCCCTCACCTTTTCATTTCCAGAATATATGATCATCCAACTCAAAATGCCCCATGCCAGTCCATCTCATCTCACCAATGCCTAGTATGTCGATATTTATGCGTTCCATTTCTTCCTTAACAATACCTAATTTTCCTACATTCATGGTTCTCACATTCCATGTCCCAATCACTAGTGTTTGCTTACAACTGTTCCTCTTCCTTTGTATTTGCATACTGGAAAGCTCAACCTCAGTTGCCCTATTTATCTACATGTGTTCTGTTGTACATATGGTTTTCAGATGCCTGCTGTTTCAGAAGTGGATGGCAAATCCTTCTTCCTAGTCTGTCTTAATCTGAATGTTCAGATTTAGAGAAGTATCAGACAGACCAGCATTTTACAGAAAAAGTGAAAATATATCCCTTATTGTGGAGTTAACCATTAGTATCAGTGTTGTCCCAGCCTTTGGCACACGTCTTTACCCACTTATTTCCCTGCTCCACCATCCACCAGGATACCCCTCCACTTCTACTCACTCCCTTCACATCTATCTCCCATTTACCAGACTTTGATCTAATAGCTTATATATGAAGCTTCCTTGGCTTCTGTGATTCCAAAAGCAGATAAATGTGTAGACAACTGAAAACTCACTGTCTGTGAACATTCTCAAGGCTGCACAAAGTGCAAATTGGATTAGATTCCCTCTCGATAAAGATGCTCCAAGTTTCCTGCGTATAACTGAACAGCAGCTCCTAACACGGGAGCAAGGCAACTGCATGTCAACGCAAAGGTGACATTTAAGTGTCACTGCGTTTGACACTCAAACCCAACTGAAAACTTCCATCTGCATGAACTCAATAGGAGAGGGGGAGAAACCCTATCTTTGAAACCTCTGGGTTCACATAGCCTATAAGACTAGATTACTGCTTGGTGGTTCACACAGCACCTTTCATTTGAATGAAATTATTTTAAAAAACTATGTTGTTATATGCCATTCAGTTGACTGTGACTCAGCAACCCTATGAACAATGGATCGGATCAAGCATCACTGTTAGAGACAGCACTGCAGGTGGAGCCTTCATATTCAAAGACACCAACAAATGAGGAGGAACAGCTGCAAATATCCATTAATAATTATAATGTGGAAAGTATGAAGCATGGATTTAGGAAAACTGGATGTTGTAAAAATGAAATGGAATGCATTAAGAGTGCTATTCGAGGCATTAGTTGAGCTGAGATGGACTAACATGAGCTACACTGAATCACACAAGAAATCAGAGATGATATTTGGCCCAAAACTGTGACTTCATACTTTTCTGCACAAACCTGGAGAGGACTAAGGCAGCTTGTGTGGTGGTTTGGAGTTCCTGTACATGGCAGGATGATTAACCCTTCATGATCATCTTCAAAGTTTCAGTTAAGATATTGAGTAGATTAGTGAATTCACACACAACTGCACAGGATGAAATTAATAGCATTCCCAAAGTCTCAGAACCTGTCGGCCTGTGCAGCCTTTATGGAGGGGGGGAAAAATCACCAACACCTGAACCATCAAAGAAAGCTTTATTATCACAGAGGAAGTCAGAGAACGCTGGAGCCACTCACAGCTAGCATGTGATGTAATCAGGGAGAGAGGACACCAGGGGGACCCCATCAATCACTGTGAACAGTCTCCCCCTAACAGATGTGCATGGCTTGGGAGACCCTGGCTTGCTGCCCTCAGAACACTGAGTGTGTGAC